CCCCCCTTGACTCTACTGTCGTCTCTGAGATGTTACTTAAGTGCGACACATGGTCGATTTCTTCCATTCCACCTGGAAGACCTCAGCTCCCCTCCTCCTCTTCCTCCACATCTCCAATATGATTTGAAATGTTCGTGCCATTATGCCTTACCTCCTTCTCCCCTAAGATGGGGAGCGAGAAGGGTAAATACTCAAAGGCTGTGTGAATAATGCAATGCGAACATTAAATGTCAGGGCTAAAAATTCCCAATTTCTCTCTTTTGTCTCGCTGGCATTCGCTGGCATGTTTTATGCATTTAATAATTAGTAGGGAGGAGGCCTGGCAGCTATAGGGATTCCTTATTTCTGTGAGAGATGGCGTTTCAAGGAGTTACAGAACTTCATCTGAAAGGCAAATTTCACCATACAGAAAAGGAATTTATCTCTGAATCGGTATCAGTCATACCATGAATGTAACATGTTTAGCTGTGTATATGCATATATAAACATTTATATATGTATATGGCATGCACTCAAGGTCTTTGCTTTTATTTTTAAACCAACTGGCTGAATAATGACGATTGCCTGTGAGAAGCAAAGGTAGAAGGTTGTTACATTAAAGCAAACTCCTGTGCGGGTACAGGTCAGGGTGGTTAATTAGGCATCATCCATCCATCCTTCCATCCGTCCATCCATCTATTCACACTTTTTATGGCCGAAGGGGGAGCTGGAGCTAATCCCAGCTGACATTGGGGGAGAGGTAGGGATCATCCTGGGCAGGTCGCCAGTCCATCCTGGCAATGTCAATGTGCCATTTAACTTAACCTGCATGTCTTCGGAGAGACTAAATATGAAATCAAATAAAGATAGAAACATATCAGTAATAGTGACAGTCTGGCATTAGACAAACAGAGTGTGTTGAAGTTTTTATTTTTACTTTTAGCATTAAAAATGTTTAGCTCTAAAAATTTTAAAAAATTGTAATTGCAAAGTAGGTAATTTAGAGGTGAAAATTATTTGATAATTAAATCTTCCCAAAATTAAATGGCCTAAAATTGTTCAACTTTACACAGCCTTTTTCAGTCACCCTTAACACAACTTAATTAGTGATTTACGCAGTTTTTGGAAAAGTCATGATCTTTTCTTGTTGTTTTATTCGTGTTACCCTTGGCCTGGAATGTGTAGCAGTCTTAGAATATGTTTTGATTTCCTGCCAGGACATAATAAAAAGTGAAAATAGGTATTTTTTAATTTTCATCAGCTTAATACAGTGCTTGCAACAGCCACTGCATACCCTCACATTCATCAACGCTTTCTTCCTGCCCTTAGTTGCATAAATACATTCGTTTGACGGATGACTTTTACTAATTGCCTTCTTAAACTGCAGCGTTCTCCTGGTGCAGCGAGTGAAAATGAAAAAAAGCAGTGCTCTGAGTATTGTTTTTTCATGTCTGAGCCTGCATTTATCCACCTGAAATTAATTCTCTAATTTGTGTGTAAGATAAACAGGGAATACTTAGCTTCCCAGCCCACTTAAAGCATCTTCTCCACTGCTTTACATATCCACTCTGAAATGCTGATTTTTTCCCTGAAGACTCCACCCAGCAGTCCTGCTAGTCATTAACAGGGAAGTCAAGTGTGCCTCCACTTTTTTTTTTCTAGGGCACTGTAAAGTCTTTTTCAAAGTGTCACTTTAGAAAAAAATCATGCTGCAGTGTGCGTGTTCACCTGCTCTGCATGGCTGAATGAAGGCAATGTTCTGTGGAGTTTGCTGTGAGACGCAGCTCCTCACACAGGCCGCTAACACCGCTTGTCTGTATAGAGGCAGGTGATGACAAGTTTCACCAATTACACACGGTATCAAGGAAAACTATTACACATTCTCCACTCAGAGCTTCCTGCAGGGGACTATCAGTCATTCACAAACTTTTAATAAGATCATTTGACCTTTGAGAGATGGTGAAGCTGAGCTGTGATCACCTCCATTCTGACTGCTGTGTCATTTTGCCACATGACAAGAACATTTGTCTCAGGGTCAGTGATCGTACTTTATGAAGTATGAAGATGCTCTTTTGTTTGATTCATGGACCGATCAACAAAGCTTTTCATTTGATGTGAAGTTTGATTTTAGCCATTAATAAAACACAATTTACAAAGCCGTCGAATGAACATACGGTGTGTGAGGAAAACTTCAGCAGCACTTTTATAGAAACAGCTTTGACAGTGAATGGTACGTTTCTGGCTCAATTTTGTATAATTTCGCTGTGTATAAACTATATAAAGAAGAAGTTCACATCACTTTCAAAGTTGTGGGATCACTAGTTCACATGACATGACTTGCTGTCCATATACCACATATCAGTTTTAAACGCATATCAAATTACCATTCTAGAGCAATGTGGATGACAGGCTCTGTAGCAGGGTTAGTGCTAGATTTGACCTTTGAGTCATTTGCAGTTCAAACTACATGGCCGATTAGTGGCGCGGGCTCACACACACAGTCTTTCTCCAGGAGGAAGAGGAGGGGGTGAAATGCTTCTGTGGAAAACAGTTGGAAAGAGTAGAGAATTCTGTTGGAGCACGACAAGCATTCAATGTGCAAACCTGACTTGAGCACAAAGCAGTTAATGTAAGCTGCAGTGAGTTTGTGTCACTCTGTCCCTCACACTCAGCGTTATTCCCAAATACGGATGTGCAGTGTAAAATAATAAGGGCACACCTCACCACTACATGTACCTTCACCTCGTCCTGCGCTCTGATTGGATGGAGTTGCTGTCAGCTCCGACTAAATTTCCTGCAGGTTGGAAATCAGATCTCTCGAATCGCATCTGTAAAGAGTTCACACACAGCGATCAGCGATTGAGAGTCTATTGGGGACTTTGGTCGGCTACTTGCAAAACTCATCTGCAACTGACTAATCAGGCTGAAAATCGTTCAGTGGGAACTAAGCTTTAATGATCTTTTGTTCTTCTTCAGCAGATCATAATGTGAGAATAAGACTCTGGTAATGACATTGCACGTGTTCATTTACGCCGCTAACTCCCCTCTTCCCAGTAACGGCTGTGAGTAGTTGTTGTGTGGTAATGTCTCTGGTCTTTTCCCTCCCACATGCATGTAGACCCCGAATGACACAGAAAAGCAAGTTGTCCATTCAAATGCCTGTTTAAAATCATAATTCTCAGTTCAGACTGTGAATCCAGTTATTTATTTGTAATTTAATTAGAAATTTGTTTATCATTCAACTATCTATTGATGGATTGGAATTCAATTTGTAAATATGATTTCATAATGTATCTTTTGGTTGACCATTATAAAATCAAATAATGAAATACTTTTGTATTTATACAATAACATATTTTGTGAACTAGTTTATTCATGCCTGTTTATTATTGCATTTTTTTTTATTACCAATGAAAGGCTTTATCATCATTTTATTTTATTTTATCATTAAATGTACCCTTATTACAAATAGCTAGCATCTTCACATGCAAAAATCATGGAGAAGCTTGATCAGTAACTAATTTATAAATCACCTGATGAATGTAACGTTCACTCAATTTTTGCAGTTTTGGGTTGTTACCATCTGCAGGAAAAAATATGTGTCTTTGTTTGCTAGATGCTCCACCATGTTCACCAGCTAGTTAACGGTGCCTGTCTGCTGTGTGCTGCTCAGCAGGTGGTGAACAGGGAAGCTGTGAGCTGAGCAGTGAAATAATCAGCTGCAGGTCACTCAGGGGGCTCCAGGCTCAGGAAGTCAGCCTCTGCTGGTTCATCATTGGTTCACCACTATTAGCGACCTCTGTCACATTAAGACATTATCGTTTGATAATCTCTTCAGGCATAAAGAGTTCAAATCAAGCTAATGAGGAAACTAGTTTGCTTGTTGGTGCATGTATGAGCAATTACTGTCAGTTTGATATTCATGAGTGATCGACCACAGCGTATGACCGACATACAGCTCGTGTGCTCGCACTTCATGTTTTACGTGCCACTTAAGAAAGTGAATTAATTGAAATGTATGTTTGACAGTCACTCACAGTTGGTGTTGGTGGTGTTGGTAGTGCTGCATGAAAGAAGGAGTAGATGCATTTGAGGGGCAGTTAGTGTCGAAGGTAGATGTCAACACATCTTATCACATAACAGAAAAAGCAGTGAATTTGTGGTAATTTCATGAAGGACCTTTTATTAAGAATCCAAAGCATGTAAGCATGTGATATTAAGAATTGATTCAGACACAGGGAACAACAATTGCACTGGTTTATTGTGCTTTAGTGGTGCACATTACCCAACAGATTTATTTTGCAATAAATATAAATCACCTCCATGTGTCCCTCACTGGGGAGTAATGCCAACCATGATTTGTAGGCTTGACTAGCAAAGACGCTGACAGAGATACTGTTGAACAGCATCAGATTTATCTCCTGATCTGAGACATCTGCCATGTAAAAGTGCAAATAGTTCCCAGGGTTTCAACCAAAAGCAGTGAGCTCATCAGTGGGATAAATATTGAATGCAATCAGAAGAGAAACAAGCAATGTCCCCCTGATTTCTGCATTTAATTAATGCTCATGGTTTTATAACGTGTCCATGATATGCAGAGGAAATTCCCATGTGTCAGAACAGACAAGAAGTCATACTGCTGTGATTGAATTCAAGTAGATAAATATAGTTCTGAACTGAAAACACAATGTGTAGACAGATGGGTCTGTCAATCATAACAAACTGTGATCAAGACAGAAAAAAATGTTTTTTCAAGAATGGCACTTAGGAAAATAGGCCCTTTAAAGTAAATTAAGCTGCACCAAATTGCAGACACTGAACTCCCTAAATATGTCTGACATTTGTCATCAATATCTGGGATTTTCATCCAGGGAAATAATCCGTCCAGTGGTTTTGGGGTAATCTTGCGTACAAACATGCGGATAGGTGTGAGAAAATAAAAAAATAAATTCTAAAATAAGTGTTTCAATCTCTTATCATCACCGTTCTTGTAATTAAAGCCAAATGTTTCTGTTTTTCAGGCCAGTGGGAGGTGACTGTCAGAAGAAATGCCGGTCCCAGGTGCCCTAGTACATCACCACCGGGACCATGGCAACTCCTTGGCCAATGAGAAGAGAGAGGTGCTCCCATGGCTCTGCCTGCCTTGCTAGATGGTCAGCGTCCTCCTTGATGCTCCTATGGTTGCCTTGGGTGTTGCTATGGCAGCCATGGCCCACCCGAGCTGAACAAGTGGGCGGCGGGGGACACAGCGGGAAGCCAATCCATAGTTCGCTAACGTCTGCCTCATCCTCATCATCCTCCTCGTCCTCGTCCTCTTCCTCCTCGTCCCCCTCCAGCACCTCATCGTGGGGGTTCAGCACGAGGCAGAGTGGGGGGCAGCTGGACTGGCTGCTGTCAGAGAAGGGACCTTTCCACAGATGTCCGGAGTACACAGAGTTCAGAGAGCGGTTCCAGCAGGGATTTTCTACCAGATACAAGATTTACAGGTAAGACAGTTCTGCACCTTCATGTGTGAGCGCTCTGAAAACAAATATTGTGGCTTAAAAACAAAAGACAAAGGGAAAAAAAGGAAAAACTGCTTGTACTGTATTATAGTGGAACTAACTTAGGACATAATATAAGGTGAATAACTTTTTTCCTACCTTTAAAAATATTATTTATTACCACATAATTGTCAGCTTATAACATTTTAGTTTCCTCTAACTGGCTTGACTTAGACACAGAGCTTTCCCTGCTGCTTTAAACTCGTGAACTTAGCTTGCATCACATGTTAAAAGTTGCATAGTACATTTTGAAGATGTAAAACAGCTTATGAAGCTTATGATATGAGGATGAATCTGGTGATTAATGCGGAAAAAGTCAGATCTGCCTTTTTTAAAACATTTTTACACTCAAAAAAAATCAGAGCCACTTCATACCAGAGTCGGAATACACATATATATTTATATACATATCTTCACATCAGCCCTGCGTTATGATATTTGAATCTGAATCTGAAATTAAATTCGATTTTTTTCCATCCAGTTACAATAAGTAAGGAACACTCTTGTCATTATTAAACCATTTATTCCATGAAATACAGTTAAGCTTGGTGCTGATGGCTCCACTTGTGGAAGGCTCTCTTAAACAACCCATTGCAAACTTAAACATTTTAAAAAAACACTGGAGCCTGGTTATGTCTGTATAAAGGTGCAGCAGAGTGAGGTGAGGAGGGCGTCATATTTAAAAAGAGGTGACAATGAATAGGTGGGTGAAGTATTGGACCACAATCAGCTGATTACAGCTGGGTCATATGACTTCTGTGTCCTACCTGAATTTACACAACACAAACAAATACTGCAATTTTGCACCTTGTCTCTTTTGTCGTATTTAACTTTTTGTTCTTTACTCTTTGTGAATGCCCTTGACCTGCTGCTCTGATACAACAATTTCCCAATTGGGATCAATAAAGTACATTTATCTATCTATCTATCTATCTATCTATCTATCTATCTATAGCAGTGTAAAAGTACATGAGGCACGTTTTGGTGATGTCACCCTTTTTTTCTTTAATTTGAAGGGCTCCTTCGAGTTCCTTTATTACCGTATGGAACACATGTAAATGTAGGTTTGAGTGTTAACAGTTAAGCTGCATAAATGTCCTTTTCTTCACCGCTTCAGAATAATGTTCAGAGAGGAGTTATTTTAGTCGAGCATTTAATATTTTTACACACACACACACAGAGGAAATTCAACCAAATGATGAGTAGTGATTATACGCCCACACCCAGAGTACTGGACAGATATGCTGCAGTGCCTGGTGAGCAGTTTGGGGGCTTAAGTACCTTTCTCAAGTGTTTATTCACTTCTCCCCCATCCATCATTCTCACTGCCATCCAGGGATTTGAACATGTGACTTCTTGGCCACAACTCCCACCCAGTACCAGTTCTAAATAACTTTAGTCACAGTTTTTAAAATCAAGAAACTACCGACCACCAAAATATCAACTTCAAAATAAACAAAATGATTCTTGCAGTGAATTCATTTTAAATAATGCAGCAGTAAATCCTGACTTGTGCATGAGAGCATGTAATGGAATGCTGCTCTCTGTTACTTTTACTAAAAAACACTTATTGTCAAACATAGCTCTTTGTGTCAAAATTTGCCGGATGGGTGAAATTTAATTTCCATCGCTAGTGCTAGCAAAACTGTGTGACAGCAGTGTCTCCTTTCTGCTGATAACGGACTGTGTGCTGTGTGTGAAGCTAAAGGAGACTTTAGATTGAATTTCATGAATCCCAGCAGCTTTTAGTGTGTCCCCTCTTCTTCGACTGGCCCGTTTGGACATTTCATTAGCTAATTAATTGAAAACGAGCTGTTTTGGATGTTCTGTCTTTATCCCCGCTGTGAATTCATTTTCCAGTAAGCTTGCTCTGCTGCTGGGATTCATGCAGACTCTTTTCAATCAATAAAATAAAACAATGTTCTGAGGTGGATTCTTTAAAGATCAGGGATCAGAGGTAATGGTGAATGTATCACGTCTGGCAGATTAAAGCAGAACTTTTGAACCTGCCTTCATGTAATCTGTGAATAGATACAACATTTTTTTGTACATTTTTGAGTTACAGAACAAGGCAACGCATTTTGCTTCAATAACTTTTTTGCTGAATCTTTCTCTTCTGAATCATGAGCTCAGCAGGACCAGTGTAAAATGTAATGCAGGCCTTAACTAGTTTAAGGAGCAGTAATTACAACCTGTAATATAAATAATATATAGCAAAGGTTCTTATAGTCATAGAGACACAACTGTCTTTCAGAGGCCGTCCAATTTGAAGATGTGATGGGATTACTTCTTTCATGACAGCTCGTAACTCCAAACTTATAAAACAAATTTTAAATTTTAAAAAGTCACCTTCTGCAGAGCTGTTGCGTGTACAGGGTGGAGTCCAACACAGTGCTTTCATGTCTTTTATAATCCTGAGACATCAATACATTAACCAAGACTCTGAAATTTGTTTTATCTTGAAGCTTCAAAAACAATAGAATTCATTTAGAGACGACAGAATTCAGACAGTCTCCTCATGATTACATACAACACTGTTGAACACATACATCTAAGCAGGATATCATTTACTGGTATAATAGGATAAGTAGGTTGAGGAGAATATTTTCAGCAGGATACAAGGTACAGAGAGAGCTGCCTCTGTGATGACTGTAAATAATTCATTAGTCATTGTTCATTTTAAAATGTTAACACTAGCACTTATTATCTTTACTAATTGTCAGTGGTCATAGTTGAATCATTTAAAAAAGTGTTAAATGTTGTGAGTCTATGCTCGTGTTTGTAAGATATATTTATGTATCCATGTTTTCAAAACTAACAGTAAATGTGACCAAGCTCATAAATATTACCACCTAATAGCCACATAGTTATTCCCTCATCAATGTCCGAGACGTTGGTCAAGACGTTGGTAAACCACTGCAAATTGATCCGGCGACATGAAGATGAACACAGCATCATGACAGCACTGCTTTATCAGCATTTATGATGAGAGAATTGTATGTATTCGTGTCTCCATTGGTGGGGAGATGGTTGCCAGTGGCGCAGGGCAGACGTGTGCCACCTGTGTGAGAGCTCTCCTGTTTGGTACAGCTGCTGTGCCACGCCATGATGCTCTCCACTGCACACCTGGACAATGCCTAAACAGTCTTTGGATTGAGTGCATCTTCCGTCAGCCTCCTCGGGGAATAGAGGCTCTGGTTCACCCTTTTCACAGTGAGATGAGATGTTTTGTGGTCTAGTAAAGGCTGTAGGTGATGTACATATGGAAGCCGCAAACAGATGGAACAAGTTGTTTTAATGTGACGGAAGCAAAGGTGAACTAAACCATCATTGTGTGTACATTACTTTCAGTTAGGACTGAAAAAAAACAACATGCACTCGGATTCTTTTTCTTTTTAATCGACCAAAAATTATCTATTCATTTAATATATCCTTTTTTCGTTTCACAAGTATAAAGAAGAGATCTCCAACGATACATCTAGATCATTTTCTAAATAGTCCTACAATTCTTAGGGTCCACGCTTTGGACAGTGTGTGCAGAAACAGGGGGTTTGTGCCTGCGGCCAGAGGCTGTTAGATGTGCGGTCTGTACATGATGCAGTGGAGTCCCTATCATTATTGCTAATTGAATACCAAATGTGATTGATTTACACTCTATCCACCTACGGCTGCAGTTTGAATTTCCATTTTCTCAACTTGGACATATGTATCCTTCCCTTACTCAGTTCATTAGCACTTTAAAATATGAAATATTCTTTTAGAGCATAACTTGAATGCTGTCACATGCATTTGTTCTGTCATAAACAGAGTTTCCTTATATATTGTAATTATCTGTGGCTTCTTTTCCTTGGATGTTGTAGGAGTGGACTGTTTCAAAAGACTTCTCAAACATTTCCATATAGAACCTTTTGAAGTGAGTCACACAGACTCTGGCTCACTTCCTCTCTCTTCCTGCCTGTTTTTTTTCATCAATAGAAAAGTCAGCTGAAGATATGTGACAGGCTGGTTTGCATTTATGCCACCGCTCTCAGCTGGTGCCTGTTTCAGTTCTCTGCTGTGTCTCTGGTCACTGGGACAGCAGGAGGTGAGACATATCTCCTTCAAAGCTGCAATCAGTCCCTCATCCATCAGTTTCTTCAGCTGACTATCTTCGTGTGCAAAGTCTCAGGTGTTTTTACTTTTACAAATACAGAGCGACAAGTCTTTTCCTGTCTCCCTCCTTCTTCCTCCCTCTCTGCTGCCTTCCCTTCCTCTCACTCTCCCTCTGCCTCCACTTGAATGAAATGGAAATGACAGCATCACTTACAGATGAAGGGAAAGTGAAGTGTGAAATGACAGGTGAAGTTTCCATAAGTGGGGCAGATTGTCATATGACTCTGCTTTTAGCTGCAGGACACTTTCATTGAACCATGAGAAGGCAACATGGCAAACTCCTCCTGATGTGTGCCACTTTCTCCCAGAGAGAAATACTAACTTTTCTGACTTCTTATTTTTGGCTTTTTTTCGCACTCTTCCTGTTGTCAACCTCCTAGACATTTATTTTGTAACGGTTATTTGAAAAGTCCAAAGGTCAGGACCAAACAATGAAGGTGTGAAAGACCTGCAGTTTAGTCCAAACTGAAGAAAAAGTGCAAAAGATCAAATTAGGTCCGGCCTAAAGAGGCGATCTCAGTTAAACTCAACCATGGTTCATTTTGATGTAGTGTGAAAACATTTTATTGGATAGTTCAGACTTTCAGAAAGATTGCAGCATTGTTTAACAATAAAAGAAGTGGAGGAAGCTCACAGGATTGCTTGCAGTGATACAATAATGACATTTCAGAGACACAAAGGGAGCATATTTTCTCCATTCACACAGAAAGACTCCTTTTTTGTATCCACTTTATTCCAAAAAGCTGGTGAATACTTGCCAAATTGTCAGACACAGGTCCATCAACAAACGA